ATCTCAGACATATAGTAATATAAAGCTATGTGTCCTCATGGAGTTATTTCAGTGCACTCACACATAAATGACTAATAATATTATTTTAAAAATTACAGTATTCTTTTCAATGATCAGAATGAAACTTTAAGCTTGCACAAAAAGAACTTTTATAATTTTAGCTGGACCAATGCAATAGTTTAGCAACTAAACTTCAATATCTCACCTACAGGTAATTTAATACTGTGAAAACTAAGTGGACCGAAATCATCTGAGACTTAAACCTTCTGTTTAATAAAGCTTGAATAATCACATTTTCAGCCACTGTCTCACTGATACGTATAAGCTATAAATTGCAAGTTATCATTAATATAAGACTTCAATATATTCTTTTGGCATATCTCTTTTGCCCCTCTGCTAGGACAGACTTCATTCATAATCATGGTAGCTTCTTCTGCCTAAAGTTAGTTTGGAATGTATCTTGGCATTGTATATTGTCTGTTTAATTTGTAAGAGTCATTGGATGGCTTCAGTTTACAGTCCATGCTAGAAATATGTAGAATCATCCTATCCCTCTGGGTTATTCTGACTGAATATTCTGTGAGTTTCACTTGGCTTTGAATCAAATTTTCAGCACAGAGGATGTCTTTAGAGTATGTTGAAGTGTATGCTTGAGTGAGAGAGAGCAAATATTTGCCAAAATGAGCAAACATACTCTAGATTTATATGCTGGGACAGTTTCACTGTTGGAAGAAAATGCCATTGACTGGTTGTCACTCTGTCTCCAGGCTGAAGACTAGACCTTGACCAAAATGTGTCTGGCTGTTTCTACAGTGGACTGCTCATGTTTGTGGAGACAAGCCACAGTGGTTCACAGGATGAAGGCTGCAATTTAGTTCAAAAGTGCTTCACCCATTCCTTTTTTAAAAATGGAAGGCTCTAAAACCTGTGTCCTTCTGGTGTTTAACTTCAATCAGTCCCAAAGATATTTATTTATCATTGTCTAAGCACTTTGATTGATTTGGTTTAGTTCATTATGAAGATTTGCTCTAGATCAGTTAAAACACAATCCTCAGTAGCTCTTTGGTTACTGAGCACTTTCAGATACTAGTGAAGTCCAGAGTGGTCTGTGCCTCTAAAACTCAGGCCAATGTAAAATCTAGTTGAGCAGTTTCATTCATAAAATCTAAAATTTATTGAATTTATGAAAAATCCCCCAAAAAGAGATTTTTGTAAATAAGGATGATTAATGCACCAGAGTCACTTGTATGCATTGGAAAGGTTGTAACTATCAGCCAAAATATATTTGAAATGAATATATATATATAACTTTCAGTGACAAACCCCTTTATTCAAATATATTATCTTTTAAAAAGTTACAGTTTGCATTAATGATTTAAAACACCTGATGCTAGGTGTCAAAGTTCACCAGTAAGACATTTATTGACTTAAATGGCTTAAATGACTGGAAATTTGGATTTTTTAAGGTTATCTCCAATGCTAAGTAAATTTATTTTTTTCAAATTGCATTATAGACACCAGGATATCACTGACCAAATTTAACTTTTAAAATTACTACTACCACCAAATAATATCTGCCTCAGAATTTTAAGCTTTTCATTTTAATTTACCTAAAATTTAAGAGAAAAAGAATTCCCTCCTTTACTTTTTTTCCATATACACTTAGAAGATACATGCTGAGTTTCAAACTGCAAAATCTATGTGTGTTAAACAATACCATTCATAATGAAAATGCTGATAAAGGTTTAACAAGCTTCATGAGCAGTAATGCAATAAGTTACAGAGCAGAATGAGGTAGATCACAAAAACAGAGGCGGTTAGAAAAGCAATGAGTTTTCTGCACAGAAAGAACAGGTGACAGTTATCTCATTTGGAGAAAGAAAAATGAAGCAGCTTCATGAGTATTCAAAGATACAATAGCAACAGACATTGTGGAGATTTCTCTTCTTACCGCTGACCGAATTGTCCCAATCTTCTCATAAAAAATGGACTTTATAATGTAAAAAGAAAAATACCCTGGAAGCAATTTTTCTAAAGCTCATTCTTTTTTGTACCCATCTTGCAAAAATATTGCAGTTTTTCTTCCAGTTTTATTATACAGTTCTTTTGCTCTTTTTTATTTTCCTTGTAACAGTGTAACAGTTTTTTTTTTTTTCTTTTTTCTTTTGGAGGTGACTCTTTATGGTAATAAGCGAACTCTGGAGAGAGGCCCAGGAATCTCAGGAGGAGGTCACAGAAGTTGGGTGTTGCTTGTACATCAGATGCACAGTGTATTGCAGGAATGGGCCTCAAAGTCACCTGATGATACAATCCTGGAAGCAGAACTCACCAATTTAGTTGCCAGAATTCTTTTTAGAAACCACTACTCTCTTTATAAGAAAAAAAAATATTCTAAGCTGCAAAGAATCAAGTTGGCACTCCGTTCAGAAATAATATATATTCTTCATTGTTTTTGCATAGCTCTAGTAGTATACAAGAGAAGAATGTGGTTTTGATTACTGTTACAGTGTATAGATATACACTATTTTAAATACTTATTTGATTCAGTGAAATCAGAAAAACTATTCACAAGTAAATTGGTATTCTATATAGGTAAGTATTTGCATAATGACCCTACAGATGTAGAACCTGTAGGCCAGTACTGCTCTGTGTTCTTTGAACCGTCCAGTTCATTATGTAATTCATACTGTGGGCTATTTCTCAAATGAGTTAAACTAGTAGCAGTGAGGCTGATAAGACTTAATGAACTACTTTTTTAATGTAGAATGACATAGAAAATATATACAATAATCCACATAAGAACAAACAACTGTTTTTACCTGCTTATACAAAAAAGTATAATTTGGTCAACACATTTTTAGTATTCTGCTTCAGAATAATATTTTCTTTGGATGACTGTGAAGCTGAGAGATACTCATATATCATGCATTAATGTGTCATATCATGTGACCTGCTTTTTCAGATGTATACTGTTGCTCATATATTGTTAAGAATAGATGTTACAGGCAAAATTTCTGAACTTTGCTTATCTGCGGATTGAAAGCTAAATTTTTCAGAGACATTTATGGAAAAAAACTGTGGCAAAACACTGGTTTTCAGATTAATTAAATCTAAATTTCTCTACGTTAGAAAATCCTCCCTTGTCCTAGAAAGTGTTTGTGTCGGAACATTGATCTAAGTCTATTTTTACAAAACATTTCATTTTGGTGATATGTTATTACCTGAATAAACAAAACTAAAAACATTGGCTGACACTTTTTTCCAGGTCTAGTTAACTTTGACCATGTAACTAGCTCTCAGTTCATTTGCTGCATTTCTAGTACACTTAAAATTAAGCACATTTCAGTTTACAGGATTGGTATTTTCAATAAAAGAGGAACTCCTATAATTGTCTTTTATTATTATTTTTTGTCTAACAACTGTTCTGCAGTTGTTCTGCACTCATCAGCATTCATCAGTCAATAATACAGATGTTTAAATGCTGGGAAAATCAAGCTGTGTTTCGTCAGTGTCTTGAAAAAGGAAATTCATTGACAGGACAGTTGACTACATGCAGCTTGCAGATTGCACAGGAGGTTAATCTGACACTGTGACAGAAAGTGTTTTGGTTTCAGATATTTGAGCCTGTGCTTATTAAATGCAGCATCCACTACAGACTCTTCTTTTAAAATATGTTGCAAAAATACAGCTCCTACAAGGAAAAAATCACAAGGAGCCATCCAGGCTAATTCAACAACAAGACCTTTTAATAGCCAACTGATTATGAAGATTCATTGTCTTGATGAATAGTAAGTAGGATATGGAGTAAAAAAATGTTAAAGAAGATAATCGTTATACCAACAACAGAGTTGAAAGTCCCTGGCTGTCTGATTTAAACTTCTCTGAAGGTATTTATTAACATGATAGATAACCACAAGAGTTTCTGTGTCTTCATGCCATTACGTCTAGTGCACGGACAATCTTTGGATGTGGAAAGTTAGATAAAGTTAAAAATGTTGCTGAACATCTATTTCTTTGATTTTTAAGTGTTAAGAAGGCAATAACACACATATCCACTAGGTTACTGCTTTCCAAATTTCCCATTCTTTTTTCTCCTGTCACCTTTTCAGTCGCCTTTCTTGAGATAAGCATCTACTATATTCCCCATCAGGAGACAGGATACTAAGCTGAACTGACTTTCAGTCTGATCCAGCCTAGATGACACAGGGTCTTGCATACTGTTAGTTTCAGAAATGAAAAGGATCAGAACTGTTGGTGAGGGTTCAAAAATATAATATATCATACAAAATAGTTATCATCAGGACTCTTGCTTTACAAACATATAAAATACACTTACTGTGAGGGCGTGGAGAAGAAAAGAAATCCTGTCATTATAAAGTATATTACAGTCACAAAATTTTGAACAAATAAATTCACACACTGTGAGTACATACACACACACACACGCACGTGGAGGCATACACATGCATACACACATGCGTTCACACACACACACAAACACACACACACATGCTTATAGTTTACACTGCATTCTTCTGATGCCATGATTATTATTTTATTTGTACACCCACCTTTACTGCACATTCTAAACAAACAATAGACAACAGTATAAGGTCCTTTTTTTTTCCTTAAAACTGCAACAAAACAAGTCTCAACATTTGCAAAACATTCCTTTATTATTAGAAATAAATTATTTTGTATAAAAATTAGCATGCGTTGACCATTGCATTTATTTTAGCATAACCCTGGACGTAATTCAGTCAGCCATCACAAGAAACAAACTCATCTTCTTATACGAGTTGAACAATGTAGGACAGGAAAGGAAATTGTCACAATCACAAAAAAGTACTTACAAATATAACATCAGACATGGTTTATTTGAACAGCATTTTTTCACAAGCTAACATTTGTTTTCCTTTTGTGATTTACTTCCTTTTGTGAGTGAACAGTTCAGAAGTTATACACTCAGTCTCCATGTGAGATAAAATCGCGCGTTTCCTTCCCCTGTCTCTTTGTAGCTTTTGCCTCTTGTTTAATCCTTGTCCTTCAGGAGACTGAATACTGATCTGAAAATAGTCTACTGATATTCCCAAGACTGAATTCTGATGGTGGAAGTCTTTGTAATATCCCATCCTGCAGGTCTTCCAGTGAATGTCACCCCTGCTCAGTTTGCCTGATTGCTGTAACTGACATAAGTTGTCTTCGTGGAGGAAGCTGTAAACCAAAAACAAACAAACAATCAAAAAATCAGATTTTTTGGAAGCAAGAGAAAAATCATTTGAAGTCAGCCAGTATTCAACTATATTTCCAAACACCCATGCCCATGTTCATGGCATTATGTAAGAAAGTTTAAGCACGTGCTTAGGTGGTAAGCTTAGTTAGATCTCAAGTTCTGTGTTTTGGTTTTAACTTTATTTTTATGGTCCAGGCAAGTAGGTGTCAGGAGAGGGGCAGCACAGTAATAATTGGAGAAGGAAGAGCCTGACTAAACCAGTAATAACTTTTTCTATAAGGTTTTGATTATTTCTCCTGTAAGTAACTGCAGGTTTAAAAATACCTGTAATAGGGTTTCAACATATCATTCGCTTGATATTATAGTTAGATTTCTCCTGTAAGTATCCTGTAAGTTTCAACATATCATTCGCTTGATATTATTTCAGCCCATCTTCATAGTTTCTTAAGTCTAGATCTAGAGATTTTCTCCTTTTTTTCATACCAACTGAAAACAACTTGCATGGGCAGTCCAACCGGGATGTTGTGCATATCTCCTGACCCTTGAAGGGAAAAAGTCTAAAGTCGGAAACACGTGTCAAAGTCAGGGCAGCTGGGTAGCTAGTGTCTAAGGCATGTGTCTTCTGGTGAGCTTTTGGATACAAAGCATCTGCATGTAAGCAAGACAGTGGAAATGCATAACAGAAGCCTAGGCTATATTTTAGAGTGGTCATACAGTTTTAATATTCATTGATGGTCAGGCAAATATTTATCTTTTTGTTAAAACTGACACTATGATTCAGAATAGGAAGGTTAAACACCTTTACTGTTGTAAAATTTGACTATGAAACTTGAATAGTAGTGTTTTTATTGGCTTCTAGCCCTTATCTCCTATCCCTTTACATAATAGAATAGGGTCAGGTCTCCACTGCTCTGTTCACATAGTGGGAGAAAGAGGGAAATGGTGGTATTAGAATTCACAGGCAAGAATTACTTGATCTTAACCTAGGTGAGCATAAGGCAGATCAGAATACTGAGGAAACAAGTCTCTCTTTTGTTTCTAATATAAGGGCTATGCTACACTGCACAAATTAAAATTTGGCTACCCATATACATCTTATCTTCCATCTGCGATAGTAATGTTCTGCTTATGACAGTGAGGACTGCAGCTGGCAGGATGAAAATAATTTGACGGCACAAAAATAGTCTGGTCTGTAGATTCTTTATTCTATTCTCATATCTGTTTTCTTTCATTTTTTCATGTAAAATTTGATAAAAACAGCTGAGATGATAGGAAAAGGATTCTTCATACCACCTCCTAAATCCAAGCCAACAATCCGGTGATGATTTTGGAAGAACAGATTTACAGAAACTAAGAAATTAGTGTTTCTTCTCCTACAACTTTTCTCAGTAAAGTTGATGCAAAATAAAACTAGATAGTATAAATAATGTTTGCTGCTTGGTTCTTCTTCATATTTTCTTTGGGTTTCTGAGGAATATCTTTCTGAGGAATTTTATTTTAATCTTGCAGTTGCCATTTTACAAGACACAGGAGAGCCAGAGCATTATAATTCACATGTCACTGGATTTTTTTTTTCTAAGAAAGGATAATCAAAAGGAAGCTGCAAAACAGAGTTTCTTACTCCCACCTGCATAGGTAGCTCAAACATTTTGAGTCTGGAAGAGCTAATTTGTGAAATGACAGTTCTTAGCACACAAGGTTTTTCAGCATAAATCTTCTGAGCGATTGTAGTATTCCAGTACTGACATAAAATAGCTTTATTTGAATGTATTGGGACACTTGAAGCAAATATAGCCTCATTTACATCTTTCAGATCTTTCAGATGGGATGCACTGCTCCCATCTGAACTCTCCCATGCTCCCACAGCTGGATGTTTGAGAGGACTCTGTTTTCCCTTCGGCCTTTTAAGTTGCTTCTGAGAATAACACAGGAGTGCTGAAATGGCACAATGTTCCTTAGAACATAAAAGGATTTTGTGCCCAGTTAAGAAACAACAAATACACATCTGCAAATTCCATGCGTTTGGGAACAAAAGGCTGGAGAGAGCAGACCCTCATTTTTGCCCTCATTCTGAATATAGGCTCAGATATGTAATCAAATTAAGCTATCTTAACACATTCCCCTGTACCAACTGAGTTCTGTTGTAACTTTTCATGTGTATACTTTTAGCTTCCAGCGATATAACATTTATCATAACTCAGTAAACTGAATTATGTGAGGACATTTGGAAGAAGCTCAAAGCATACAAATATTTACTATACATCAGCTGACTTAGAGTAATTTATTAATTTGCTATAACTTGGCTGTGTGCTTCTGAGTGATGTCACTGTAAAAAAAAAAAATGATAGCAAGGAGAACCAGTGTAGGTGCTAGTTCAAAATGTGATAAATCTAATCTTATGTCCAAGTATTTTATCACTTGATAAATATTTTAAGTGTCCTTACAGTGTATTGCAATAATCTTTCAGTTTCTTTTTGAGGATCCAAAGCTTTAGCAGTTGGTGTCCTGGTCTTTAAGACTGTTATCATAAAAATATGAACCATATTTTGCAATTTCAGATAGCCAAAAAAATTAACCACCTTGGCTCAGAATATTTCTGGAACAATCTTTCTATCTCCAGTAACTACACTGATGTTGGAATGAAACAAAAAGAACAATAGGAAATCAGATGACCTATATACATTTAAAACAATTGTCATTGTTATATACTCTACAATTACATATGAATCTTTTTTCTTCACTATGTGTCCCAGATAGATACAGTATTTTCCACAGAATTTATATGTTTTTCCACATAACAGAGGCCTATTTCTGTGGTACACAACATGAGCAAGAAACAATTATATGCAAGAGAACAATCTAGAGAGAAAGGATTCCTCTTGGATTTAGGATTCCGTTTGAAAGTTAAAAGTTAAAGGAATTACTTGTCTCATCTAATTTCTTATTTAGTGTCATTATCACAACAAGTATTTGTGCTAGGATACTACGCTGATTTTTCTAGATCAGTTTCATATGCTATTATTGAGAATCTACCTTGCATGGTAGAAGAAATTATTCTGTGTCGAGAATCTGAAACCTAGTGAAAACCATTTGTTTTGCATGTGCACTGAAATTCACAGGAACCTTCAAAAGCTTTTTTTGAAAGTAACTCTTTTGGCAGAAAAGAGGCAAGTTGCTCAAATCCGGTGAATACAGAAGGTATTTCGAAAAGTGCAAAACCCATCTTTGGCCAAGAGCTTAATCACACAGCTACAACTCCCTGAACTACAAATGACTTGATTCTGAATTTTCGCCTGCATGGATCAAAGCCTCATCAGGATACTTATTCCTAGCGAATTTAGGATTATACACCCAGGCTACTGTTAAAAACAAATTAAGAGTACAGAAAATAAGCATTACCCTGTGTACATCACAATACTGGAGAAGTAAACCTGCTTCCAAGAGCAGCTGTTCCCATTAATTTTACATAATCAGTTTAAAGAATCCCAGACACAGCATTTCTTAATTAGGTGCAGTAGATAAACATCCAATACATAGGACTCTTACTAATTCTCTTCCTGCTGCTACTACTTTGCTAGCCCTGCTTTGACCTTTCTGCAGAAGCAGATCATTTTGTAAAGTCAGCAAAATCCATTTCTCTTTTCATTCTGCATTTTCTTTTGGTGGCTTCTGAAGATTTGTGAAAGTATTGAATTTGTCATATTTTCATTCTTTTACTTAATCCAGAAGGAATTTCATCAACTGTCTCCTTCTGTCCTCTGCTATATGTGTTAATTTGAACCCATGGCTCACCCTGAAAGATTTATACATTTTGAAGGGTCACAGATTTTGAAAGTTAATTTGTTTGCACTCAGTATGCTCCATGCATCAGCAACTATCCTATGGTAAGCCTTTGGACTATTTTCACTTGGGCCTCAATCTGGCAAATGCTGATTGAATTCAGTGGGGGGTTGAATTTTTATGAAATAAGTACAATATTTCAATGTAAACTTGGTGAATGTGCACAAGTGACATAGCATTATTCAATTTCCCGTCAACATCATAAAAAGTAATGAGGATTCATAAAACTCATTTTCAATAAAATGACTAAAAAATTAGTCTTTAACTGTAAGACTAGCTGTCCATCATATGGAACCAATGTCTGATAGAAACTGATTTTCCCTGACTACTAACTGTGGGATAAAATTACAATCTCTATACAAACAAATACATATTTACAATTCTGAAGTCCACTTTACAAGACCGTACATCATGTAGTGAAATGGAAGCTATAACCACTGCTATCTTCCATACCAGAGCAATTTAGAGATGTGCCGAGATTCAAGAACTTTCCTGCCATGGGAAAGAACTTCTTTTCATTTCCATGGCAAATAAGAACATATAATAGTCAAACTATTGACAATAGTCAAATATGAATTACTACATTATTGTACCAAGATGAAGAAGACTAGAAAAAAGACTTCGATGGAAAGTGTTATTCTGGGGAGCAATGGTACCACTCATGAATTGTGATGTATGAACAAGTTAACAACAAATATTAAATCAAGGTAGAAAAGTCAAGAAAATATATTTTTATTACCCTATATAACTTATATAAATTAAAAGACTGCTAAAACTGTTAATAATGTTTTTACTTTACAAATTAAAAGACTGCTGAAAAAATACAATTAAAACTGTTAATAATGTTTTTACTTTAAATTCTGAATACACAGTGATGACAACAAGGCGTATCATGGACGCATTGCAAATGGCACAGCAATGCACAACAGTCAGCACTAGCTAACACACGTTTTTAAAAAGATGTGGCTTTCCAAAATCTGTTTGTGTTTTTTTTTCCTAGCCTCCTGTTACCTATAAAGATAACACTTTGAAACAACTCTAGGCATTTCTGCGTACATGAATGCTGACACATCTCTGGATTCATGCAAAACAAGCAAAAAAAAAAAACTAAAAGAATGTGCTTTCAAGTGAACGTACATCTATTACGAAGTGCTGCCACTCTTGACCATGGGAAAGTCTACAGATGACTTACTGTTGGTTTCAAGACTTTCACACAGTTCGGTTTTGACCTCGCCATTTGGTCTGTCATTTCCTTTCTGGATCAGCTTGCTCTGCATTGTGGCAGCTGTCACTACAGCCTTGAAGCTCCTCTTCCTTTTTTGAACATTCTGCTCTGGATGAAAAATGATAATATATACCTTGGGCATGTAGAGCATGCCCAGAGACACAGAAGCACTTAAACTCATGGAGACAGTAAGTGTTGTAGTCTGGATGTACATCTGGGAAAAGAAAGAAACAACAACAAAAAAATCACTGTTTTTAATACTGATTTAACCTATAAAGACAAACTATCTTAAAAATACTAGCAGATCAAGGAATTTTTTTTCTGAACATACATCAGAAGTACTTAAGTTGTCTTTAACTGTAGACAATTCTGAACATACATCAGAAGGATTTTACTTAAGTTGTCTTTAACTGTAGACAAATATGGCTTTATATATATATATATATTTAACATCAAGAGAAGGTGGTAGAAACACATAATGCTTATTCATTCCATAAACATAATCAAGCTTCTGTAGCAACTGCACTTTCAGATGACAAATATGTCTGTACAGGGGCAGTATACAAGCAGTGACAATAAGGTAGCCTTCCATCATCTATTTTAATGCACAGAAGCCTCTACAATAGTTTCACATTTCAACAGTGTGTGCTGCATGGTTCAAATGGCAACAGGTATAATACTGAACCGGATGAGAAATCTTTGATATACTACTTGCATTTCAAGTATACAAGCAAATGAGTTTCTCCATAGTGAAGCTTCAATTTTGTTGAGTTTGTTGGAGGGTTTTTTTTTATGTTGTTGGTAGCAGTTGGTAGCAGTTTTGTTTTTAACATTTTTACATTACTGTTGAATTCTTGCCACAATGCTCTGGCATATAATAAATATGTTAATATGCCACATAACTTGTAAATAAAAAAATCAAAAAATAGGGGAACCAGGAAACAGTTTACAATGGAAATCAATTCCCTATAGTGATAGGAAAAATCTTGCCATTTCAGAGTGAGTTTGTCTATTGTTCATTATCATCTACCTTGAATAGAAGCATTCTAACCTTCCACAGTCCCATGAAAGGAAATGACAATGATCATTCCATTGTGAAAAAAGCAGAAAGAAGAGGATTTATTTTTTAATTTGAAGAAGTATTCTGATAGCATATTAAAAACACATAGCTATTGTACTTCTTCAACATTTATTTCCCTTAAAAGTATATAAGACAACAATTTTAGTTACAATTCTGCATGGTTTGCTAAAATAATAAGAATTCTTTCTGTAATAATGTCGCTAAAAGATACTGAATCCTTTAGGTATAGCAGACAGAATAAAATCTGTTCAAGAGCATCTGCTGACATTGTAATAAGGCATGATTTTAAGCACTCGTCAATACTATCATGTTAACCTGAAGGTAATGTACTGACTCTTTGGCAAGAAAGTCAACTCCATATCAATTGGGTCTAAAGATAAGTGCCTCAGTTAATTTACCCTGTGGCAGAAAAGCAGAGATGTAAGGAGAGAGTGTGCAGTCACTGTAGCAGTTCCACATGCATTTGCAACATATAAACAAAGTTTTTCATTAGCTGATTTTCCTTAGAGAGCACAAACTCTCCTCTCAAAGTCGTCAGTTGAGAAATGTGACAAATGTATTTCTATAGTGTGAAGTCTCACTCTGAACCATTCTGTGGAGAAGCAATATATTCATGCAGAAAACCTTCCAGATCTTACTGTGAACTGAGGAGTACTCCAATCTACTCCTTAAAAAAGACTGGTTATGCTTCAAAATCTGTAAGAGCTTGAACCTGTTTCCACAGACAGCTATGCACATGAAACAGATAAGATAAATCGAGACTTCCCATTGTGCTAAGAAAAGTGATAGGCAACAAATTGCTTAATTTCAATAATACATCAATCTAATACATCAAAAAAGCATACTATAAAGTCTTTTCTTACATCAATGAACTAACTTCATTCCTTTCCATCTCTGAATGGAGAGTGGTGTGCCTGAAAGCAGATCTTGACCTACATTTTGCATGAACACATTTAATGGTAACCTCAGAAAACTATGTTAAGAAGCAGGCGTTTTCAGACTTCTGTGGAAGGAACTCTGCAGATGCATGGTAACATACAAATGGCACCAATGACAAAATCGTTTTCCTGTAAATTGTTTGATCTCCAATTAAACTGGTATAGCAGTGGCTTACATGGTTATGTACAGCATTATGTGGTGTCTCACAGTTTTTAAGAGTGCAGATAGACATTTGTTAATAGGATTTTCAAAACAGACATCAGTGCAAGTAAGACTTTTAATTCACTGTAGTGCATATGAAAATTCCATTGGACTTTTTTTTTTTTAAGAGTTGCTATTTTTGAAAATTCAAATCCATAGATATCAAGTTAATAGTTGAGCCTCACCAAAGAAATGTGTAAAAATGACTGACCTCTGAGCATTTTTTTAAGTTCTTATCAAATATCCAACGCATAAGACTGTTTTTTCTCTTGTGGTTCAGTATAAGAGTTAGAGAAAAAAGGTTCATGTACATGAGAGTACAAATTAAGAACTTTTGAGTGTTATGTGGTTAAATATATACATTCATGTAGTAGGAATAAACATAGTAGTAACTCACATTTCCATTACGGTAGATCTCAAAGGTCTATTTGAGATAAGAGGTCCCAGTGTACCAAATACTTACATTTGTAAATGTAAGAAAAACAGTTTTTGCCTGAAGTTTTATATTCAAATAAGATTCAAAGGGAAACCAGACTCTAAACTTGATCATGCAATACTGAGAATCCAGGGCTTTCAATGCACTTTAGAGCAGGTATTTTATATATCATTATATCTAATGTGTATTTTTTATGGATGTAATTGAAATGACCAACACGTAAGCTTGTTTAAAACAAAAATCAAACTACAGATTCTTTCATGTTGTAGATTGCAATTCATATGCAATGGGATTTATTTATAATGATTTGTGCATTTTTAAATTAGCCTCTAGATATATTGAAGTATTAGCATTAGAGACAGCTGGGAATTTTCTGAAAGAACGATTTTAAAACAGAGAATATAATCTTTAGAGACTCGAGAGGCCTCAGGATGCTACTTTGTACGGATCATTCTTACCGCTTTTTCTTTAATGAAACTAATGAGAAAGAAGACATAAAGCTACTTGCCAGTCTTTGAAAGGAAGGGTTTGAATGTACGTGCTTTATTTTTGTGTGTGTACACACACACATTCCTGTGTACATGAATCTCGTAAATTTCCATGCAACTGTAAACTCGGACAGAGTCTGTCCCTGTGACCACTATTCTCTATTGCTCTGATCTTTCTTTTCCCACTATTTTTTCAAATGGTCAGTTTAATAATGTGAAGATAATGACAACGACTCCACAAATCCACTCTGGGCTATCTGTATATAGGACAGGAATGTCTCTTGTTGGTGTCTTCCAGCTTTGGTATTCCCCTTTCTGAATGCAGATGAAGCATAAGTCCAGCAAATATCACAACGCCATATTGTTGGTTTGACTTTTGTGTGACATATTCTGTTTCATAGCTGACAAAACGACAACAACTTTTTATTGCTCTGCATTCTGACTACTTTTATTATACTGAGAGCAATATCTAGCCATAGTTTTACAGAATTAGCTGTCCTAAAAAACAAGTAGCAACAAAAGTAGCTCAGTTTAATAAGATATGAGGTCTGAATAATTTTTCATCTGTCTCACAGTGGTACCTTACTCTAAATTATAGGAGCATAAAGGTCTTTTTTCACAACAATTCATGGTTACACAGAAATGAATAGCAGCACTTCTCACACTAAAATCCCTTCTGAACTACAACCTTTTTGTCCAATAAAGCCTTTCTTAGATGTATCAAAAATTGCTGTATCCATTCTCCTTGTTCTTGACAGTCAAAAGATGTAAGACAGAAAACTAAATTCATAGTATCACAGGAAAAAAAATTCTTGCTTCCCTTTACCTTATAAAAAATTATTAGAACTAAGCACCTTCCTTTCTTCACAACCCAGAACTGATACAGGACCATTTTCTGCCTCCATAAGTGGATCCCTCACAGCAGAAAACGTCCCTTGTAAATGATGTAGAAAGACACTGCGCCACATTAGCTGCCTATCTAACAAAGACTTTGACCCTTTCCTCATCAGACGAATCCACCATGCTTGATGCCAGAGCTTCTGACTGCCTCAGCAGGTAAAGTAGATAATGATTGCAGGTCTATTTAAGACATTTTTTATCTTCTGCCAAGTTTTCTAGAGCTATATTTTTCTTTTTTTTTTTTTTCCTTTTTGTTTTCTTTTTTCTACTCTGGAACCTAAATTGCGACATTGTAAAAATTCTGGCACCTCAATATGAGTTTTAAAAAAACACACATTAATGGCTTACTAAATTTGGAAGTACTTAAAACTTAATTAGTGCCTTTCTGGAAACTTGAAAATTTTCTATGCATCTAAGACCTAGCAACCTTTTTCTCCTCAGTCTGGAGCCAAGTTATCTAATAGTGGGGTTTGAACGACACTACTGAGATACCCAGACAGGCACTCTCCAACCGCTGGTAACAAGAGTGTGAACCATTGTGGAAGGCTGAATTACAGTTCAGTATTTTTCTCATCCTTGTTATCAGATGCTTTATGCCACTAACTCCTCTCCCCTCTGTGAATCTTCTCCGCTCCTTCTGCCAAGTTCATTTTTAACTAGAACTGCAGCAACGTTCCTTTCCCAGAATGGCTTTCTGCTCTCATTCTTGCACTCACCTTCACTGCCAAATGCTTTCTCAGAGCATTTATAGCCAAAAGGAAAATGATATTTGATGTAATAAAGACACGTGGCAACTATCTGCATGAATCCCATGCATTTGGGAAGACAGCAAAATAGTCCCTGTGCAATTATGGTGGACACAGAAAGAGTCTTTTCAGTCACAATAAAACATCAAAAGTCATCCATCTGCCCCCACAAAACCTACTTAGAAAAAGCTCATCATTTTCAAGTTGTGCATGTGCACACTGCAATAGATTTTGAGTGTGTGGCATCTTATTAAATATCTGATTGGACAACAAGATCTCCAGTTTCACAGTCATGTACACAGATCAGAAAAAAACACTGTGGAATGGATTTCTCGCTCCCTCTTTAATCACTACGGACTACCTGCTGGCTGCAGGTAAGCATATTAGAAACCAGAAAGTGAAGACAGGAAAGTTGCAATGCCA